AAAAATATAGATGATGATGTGGAAATACATTAAATTTTGTTGGGTTTAATGGAGTGTGGATGTTAAGGAGTAAAGTTGAATAAAAAATGAAATATTGATGTGGCAGTGATGTGACAATCCATTGTGGATGCCTTAAGGATTTTCCTAGAAAAATGTAACACCCGTTCCGAGAAGGTTTATTTCTAACCCTAAATTTGTTTAAGTTTTCCTTTCTAGTTCGTATGTTGTGCGTACTCAGGATGTACACATGGCGTACTCATGCATGGGGAACACAGGATTTGCATGCGTACGTCCGGCGTACTCAGCATGTACGCGGCGCGTACGCTGTTGAGACCAAAAACCCTAGTTTTGAGGGTTTGCACCCTATAATCCCCTTTATGGCCCCACGACATTCACCCTCATCAGCCTCCACCTAAAAATCGTCCCTCTAGCTAACCCTAATTATGGAGAGTGCACCTTGAGCTCATTTGTGTGTTTTGGTGGTGTTCTTGAAGAAGAAGAAGGTGGTAGAAGGACATTGGAGCTTGGAAGAAGTTTGGATCTGGGATTCTCACCTTGCTAGCAACCTTCAGGAGGTAAAAAGCTCCTAGCTTGATCATTTTTTTTTCTTATAGATCTAGTTATTCCTTCCTGTAGGTCATTTTTAGTCCCAACCTTTGTGATTCTTGAGCATGGCATGCTCTTAACCAAATAAGTCGTCCTTTCAGACCCAATGAGGGGTTTTGCGTCATAAAAATGAGATCTTGATGCTTAGGTCTTCCCCATGCATGCTCTAGAATGTATTTTGGTATTAAGAAGTTAGGATTGTTGGTATTAAGCAGTTAATGGGCATACAAAGTCATAAAGTTGGAAACTTTATGACTCTTAATATGGCATTGGATCTACAATTGGAACGTAATAGCTTAACGCATTAAGCTCTTATTATGGAAAAGGAGCCTTAATGTGTATGTCATGCGTAACTCTGCGTACGCCACATGTACGGGGTCAACAGTCCCATCTCGGTCAAGGCTCGTATACACCCAACGTATAAGTTGAGTACGCCCCCGCGTACTCAGCTGAGTTGACTCGTTGACCTTGATTTTGGTTAGGTGATCGCTGAGCCGATTTTCAGATTAGGTCCTTGGTTTTGGTTAGGTGATCGCTGAGCCGATTTTCAGAGTATAGAATTATTCAACTTGCATTTAGACTGAGATGTGAGTTTTTCTCATTGTACCCGTGGGTCGAAGGCACCAGTGTCGGCCCACTAGATTATTTATCATGTTAGGATAGTATTATGCTAGTTTGTAGCTATTTAGTAGATCTGTATGATTATATGTATTTGTTGGCTCTGTGTTTATGTTTATCTGTTACATATGTCGACATATTATGCTGGGTTGAAGCGGTCCTGCTTTGTGATGTAGGCCAAGACAATCGGGGACGACCGGATAGGCTGTAGGCCCTGCGAGGCGGTCCAGTCAGGCCGACATACCGTAGAGCGATCCGGATAGGTTGTAGGCCCTGTGAGGCGGTCTAGTCATGCTGAAGGCTCGTAGAGCGGTCTAGATAGGCAATAGTCCTTGCGAGGCGGTCCAGTCAAGCTGGCTGCTCATATTTGTATGTTTGTTTGTTATGTGGTGTGTTGGTTCTTTAGGGGAACTCACTAAGCTTTGACTTACAATTTTATTTTATGGTTTCAGGTACTTCTGATGATCGTGGGAAAGCGAAAGCTTGATCGTGCACATCTTCCTATTTTCACAAGATTGGTTTATTTGGGACACTCTGATATTATGTTATTTTTGAAACAATGAGTATTTTTGTAAACAATGATGGTATATAGGAACCGGTTCCGGTTCGGTTCCGGGTAGGGTACAAGGTAAAGTGGGTCTAGAACCGGAAAACCGAGAAACATCAAAGTGGGTAGGGCGGAACCTGATAAAGTGGGTCTAGAACCGGAAAACCCGGTAAACCGGAATTTTTTGGTAATTACTTAGTGGTTGAACTTTGAAAATTTTCAACTTTGATATCCCAACTTTGGGGGACTGTAATTCATTGAATATTAAACCAAAAATGACAAAGTTATAGTCTAAAATCATATACAAACTCTAAACTACATGTTGCAAAAAACCTCATGATAATTCGACCTCAAATGAATTAGATATGCATGTTTTAAAATTTCACATAATATGAAAATAAAGCTGAAAAACAGAAAATTCGCAGCTTTGATATCCTGACTTTGGGAGACTATAAGTCAATGAATATGAAACCAAAAATGATAAAATTATAGTCTAAAATCATGTACAAACTCTAGACTATATTTTGGAAAAAACCGCATGCTATTCCGACTTCAAACGAATTAGATATGCATGTTTTAAAACTATCACATAATACAAAAAAATCTGAAAAACATAAAACTTCCAACTTTGATATCCGGACTTTGAGGGAATGTAAGTTAATGAATATGAACCCAAAAAATGACAAAATTATAGTCTAAAACCATGTACAAACTATAAACTATACTCTGGAAAAAACCTCATGTCAATCCGACTTCAAACGAATGAGATATGCATGTTTTAAACTTTTCACAGAAACCGGTTACGGCCCCTAAAATCGGTTCCCATTCCTAATACGGTTCTGGTTCAGAAACCCAGTTTACCCGGACCCGAATGAACCAGAACCTGGATTACCTGGAACCCGGATAAAACCATTTTTAAACCCATGACCCAGACTGGTTTTACATATTCCGGTTCTAACGGTTCCAGTTCCAGTCTGGTTTTTCTGTTCTAAATCTCATCCCTACCATTATGACAATTTATAACCTTAAGTGATTTGAATGTCAAATAGATCATTTTATTAATTAGATATTAATTAAACCATTAAAATTTATTTAATGTCAAATAAACTATTTTAATAATACTTTAAAATAACAATTTAACATGAAAACGGATAGCCCAAAATCATGGATGTTACAATTTCAATCGTTTATTATTTTTAAATCAGTATAATGTTATGTTGGTTTTTAGTTTTAATTATATTTAAAATGACTTTATAGTTTCTTAAATTATTTAAATAAAACATGTGCGATGAAAATGATACGAATGATCCATTTTTTTTGTTTAATGATGAAATAGATGAAAGTGGGAGGAGAAAGAAAAAAAAAATTGATATGCCATGAAGGATTGGATGGATGAAATAAGGAGGATCGACGTCAAAAAAATTAAATCTAGTATTCATTATTGTCATATTTCTCACCCCTCCATAGTTAATCGTTAGATGCATACTTAGTCCCTTCATTTTCAAAAAGTAATTGTACGATTATTTATATATCTTTTGCATAAGTTTCTTTATTGTGCTCAGACTTGCATACATCCACCCATTAGAAGAATTCCAAATCACGACTAGGATCTTGTTAAACACACATGAAGCAAAACTACTATCAAACATTAGAAATAATTTTTGAATCAAGCCTTATAAACAAATCAACCATACATCATCTTTCGTCATTATGCATATTTGATCCCAAATCTTGCGTGGATAAGAAGTATAATCAACCGGGATTCATCAAAACAGGGTTAGTCTATAGGGCAAGGACAAAATTATTTTACAATAATTGAAACAAGGGTTGTAAGTGGTCTTCAATGGCTACACGAATAAGGATGGTTGTGAATAATGGGGTAGAAAGTGACAGGGAATAATGCGGAAGGAGACGACATGTTTGTCCTTTAAAACCTTAGATCAAGAATATGTAGATCCATCTTCAAAAAGTATTCAATGATCGCTTAAGACGTCGTCTATTTTCAAGGCCCCATCGGTATGGAAGTTTGCACTAAAATGGATGTTCTCAAGGAACCATAAGAAGTTAGGAACCATGTTTGTTTTACAAGTTTGGCAATTACGTACTGATGGGATTTTGTGGCAAAGTTAGCATTGGTGTATTGATGTTTAATGGCCACAAAGTGAAAGATGTAGCGGTGGAGATGGGCAGTCACCAATCATCGGTGCTGATTTTTATTGTTTTGGTGGTTTTGTTCACCATAAAGGTGGATTGGAATAGACATGTTTGTTAGGACTTCAGATGGTAAAGCTCTACATGGATGTGATAGGCTTCATCCATAGCATTGATATAAATAATGAGAAAAACTTAATAAAAATAAAAATAAGGGCAAATCGATAATTAAAAAAAAATTGTAGTTAGTTATGTTAAGTTGAAAGATCAAATCCACAACAAAATTCTGCCACAATTAAAAAAAACTAACATACCATACCATAGAGATGTTGTAATATTCTCTAATATTGTATGAATTCATATTATTAAATAAATTCTGGATGGGCATGTCATATTAGCCCATCAAACTTTTCGCGTTTTTTTTAAAAGGTCACTAAACTATTTTTTTTTGCACATTAAAGGAATATACTTTCATTTGACCGTTTTAAAATACCCTTATGTTACCTTTTACCGGGTTGAAAGGTAATATACATGTCACGAGGGAAAATATCGGTGACACGTCATTTAATGTAATGGCCACGTGTGGTACACTTATATTAATTTGTTATAAAATAAATCGTTTGCGTTATACAATCCCCTCCCCCTCATTGAAGAAACCCCTCCTCATTGAAGAAAACTCTCGTCCCACCATAGTAACTGAAGATCGATGGTTATATTCCTCTCAATCAAAGTTCATTTCCAAGGTGTGTTCATCAACAAACCTTTTTGCTATTCTGATGGTGTTCATCATGTGTTCGAGAACGTCGATTTTGCTGGTATGTCATATAATGAGTTCGTGGGTTTTCTTGAACGATTCACACAAGAGAAGTGTGAGAAACTTTATTATTGTCAACCCGATTTACAAATCCTAGAAGGTTTAACCTTGATTTCGAATGAACTTCAATATCAAGAATTTATAGACATTGATTATCAATGTGGAGTACAAGCTCCTGTTTACGTGGACCATTTTGGTACTACTGTGCACGTAAGTAAGGCAAATGAAAATGAAAATGAGGATAATTGTTTTGTGAAGTCAAACATGTCAATCGAAGGGGAAGAAGGTATTGACCTAACTGACTTCATGAGTCCACAAGAAAGCAACATGGAAGGAGTAACCTATGAAGGAGTAAGTAAGGCAAATGGAAATGAGGAGGTCACAGAAGGTGATCCAAAAGATGATGAAGATGATAATGTCCCAGATGTGAAAGGAAAACCGATGTTTAATGAAGACATACCTTGGAAGAAGCAGTTGCCAATTCTAGGTATGAGGTTCACCAACCCTCAACAATTAAAATTTATGATTTGTAATTATGCTGTAGCAAATGGGTATCAATTGTACTTTGAAAAAAACGACAGCAAAAGGTTATTGGTTAAGTGTAGTACTGGTCAATGCACATTTAGGCTGTGGGTATCATGGATGAGTGAGGAGCACTCATTCCAAATCAAGTCCCTTATCATTGACCATAATTGTGCAAGAAATTTTAAGTTAGGGTCAATTGTTAATTACAGATGGATTGGTAGTCATTTCACCAGGGAAGTTCTTGAGAATCAGAAATTCAATGTTATGATGTTAAAAGAGGAAGTAAAGACTAAATTTGGCATAGAGGTTAGTATGTGACAATGTAGGAGAGGTAAGCAACATGCAATGTCTCTTGTTGAAGGTACCATAGTGGAAAATTATGCAAAGTTGTGGTCCTATGGTGAAGAGAT